TTTTGTTGATTATAAATTTTATTAATATGATTTGATCTACGAAAAAGAATGTTTATGGGTGATATATTTATCCTAATATTTGACAGATGATATACCATATTTATGATTTATTTATTAATTATAAATACAATTTTCACACAACTAGCAACAATGAATAATAAAAACTATTCTTTTCAAACAAGCAAATTAATCAAAATATTATATGGTTAATTAAGAAAATCTTTCGTGTGATTTAAATACTAAAAAATAAAAAAAATCGTGCATTGCACGGGCTTTCATCTAGTATTTTTTATAAATGAGTTAAAATTAAATCAATAAACAAATTACATTACATTATTTATAAATTAACAAATTACGTAAAACTATAACCACAATCTCCCATTTTCTCCTTTTCCCACCACCATGACTACCACCTCCAGCCGGATTTTTTGGGAGACGAATGCGGACAAGTTCATATGTCCCATCATGATTCCGCCAAATCCGGTATGGTCGGTATAACCCTTGAGCAATATGTTACAAACTTCAAGTTGAGATGCTTCATCATTTTGATATATACGGTTAAACTCTTCTTTTTTTCTCACAAAAACTTGTCCAGTCCATTGAAAAACATGGAAGGGAAAATGAAGATGATTCATCATTTTGATAGATACGGTTGAATTCTTCCATTTTTCTCACAAAAATTTGTCTACACTATTGGGAAACATGAAAGGGAACATGAAGATTCATGCTCCTAGATCAAAAGAAACACAAAAGACCCAATAAGTCTAACAACAAACAATTACAAATCCTTTCTCAATATATGTTCGGTTATTTTATTTATTTATTTTGTGTGTGGTTGATTATTTCTCCTTCAAACTATTTGAAATTAAACCCAGAAATTTAACCAAAAAATCAATTTTAAAATTTCTAGGTCAATTTCAAATAGGTTTACGGAAAGATAATAAATTTTTTTTTAAAAAAAAACCCTTAATCAATTAGGAAATTACCAAAAAAAAATCTCAAGCAGATCAATTGTGCGATTTTAAAGAAATATTTAAAGAAAGATAGAGGTATTTAGAGCTTCAAGGATGGAAGGGAAAATTATTGTCTATGTCGAAGAAAGAAATTCTCATTAAAGCGGTTGCACAAGCCATCCCAACATATATGATGAGCATTTTCAAAATTCCGAAGTGGTTGATTGATGAGATCCATTCCCTCTTAGCATGGTTTTTGTAACACCCCACTAATTCTCTATTTTTACATGTAAATACCTTTAATAAATGTAAGAGAATTACTTACGTGCTACAGCCACGTGTTCAAACGTTAAGGCAAATTCAGAATTTAGCAACGGAAAAACTAACTCAGTTAAAATAAAGTTTCAAAACCAATACGCAAAACCAAATTAAGTCTTACAAGTTGGAACCATCAAGGCCTTTATTTAAAACCCAATTATCAAAGTAGTAAATAAATCAAACCAAAAATTTAAAAAGTTTAATATTCATGCAAGAAATAAACCACAAGTAGTAACCAACTCTCTACTCAATTCCTCGCCACTTGATGCAAGCCCAATTATGCAAACACTTGTGATTAATCTACTCCCCAATATTACAAGTGTAAAATTGGATCATCACAGGGTCATTGAAAGGCGAAGCCATGGTCAAGAAAACACACACAAAAGCACGCAATGAGCAACACTGAGTGCATACAAGCTACGAAGTATCACAAATAAATTCCTAGCATGCTACTAATTTTCAAACAACACACTTTCAATTTATTATTAACTTTATCGCATGATTTGACCTTTAACATTACAAGACTTTTTTAGTAAATTCTAGTTATTTCATTTCATTTTATTCATTGGATTAAGCAATAGACAAAGTTGTCTCCCCATGCTCCATTTAGGAACATCAATAAAATCAAACCTCATGCTTCCTTTCGGAAACATCAATAAACATCTAGTGGCAGACGGGCGCTACTCCATGGCCATAGCTAGTATGAGATCTCATCTAACTCCTTAAAGTTTTAAAAAAACATTTGAAAACAAGAGACTTGTAGATCAGACGACCTCTGAAAAGTACACGGCTAATACTCCGTGAACCCCAACCCCTGTTTGTCAATACTGTAGATGTGCACAAATCCAGAGTTTTATTGCTCATCCACTTGCAATTTACATGATTTACAAGTTTAAACATGGTGATGACTCAAATACAGAAACAATACAACCAATCAAACATTGATCATCTAAGCAATTAAAATTTCCAATTCATTTCTTGAATTATTAGTGACAAACAACATTTAGTATTGAATCCTTTAAACTACCTCGGTGTATAAATATCTTAAGTGCATAAGGCACCTTAAATCCTCAACCTTGTCTTATAAGACTTCAATTCTCCCTTTACTCATTCCAATTCAATAATCATGAACGATTAGTAATAATATAATAATGATCCAATCCACACATTCAAGTACTTTTGCCTCGAAGTTCATCTTGCAAGGTAATGCATATAAAATTACTTACAAGATGACTCAACATACATAAGACTACATGGCATACAAAATCAAGAATAATAACCAAAGAGATTTGTTACCAAACAATTTCAATCAATCACAAATTTCCTAATATGATGCTAAGTTTTACCAATTCCTTAAACATGCTCCTAAAGTTTAGGTTTTTCGTATTCTTGTACGTACCTTGAGTAAACGAATTGGTAAACCACTTTTCCAACCAAAAATCACCTTCTAAGAGGTCTTCTCTTAAACCAAACAACAAAATCTCAATCAATACCCAAACAATCAAATTTACAGCAATACTAACTTACTTTACGACCTTTAAAATCCAATTAAACAACACTTTAAACCTTCGTTTATTTATAAAATTGCGAAGGATTACAGTCTACCCCTCTTAAAAGGGCCTAAACTCGCTATATAATTTTATAATAATTACAATCCAATATATATACATAGGCCATGAGACATCATTCCCAGTTTTTCGCCAAGTGTCGAGCTACGTAGGCGATAGATATGTATTATTGTGACACATAGGATGCTAAGTAGGCGAATTTTTGATATATTTTTTTAAGATAAAAATGTTGTATAGTGTTTTATTATCAATATACTTCTAATATTTCATATGTACAAAATTAATTATAACTTTTAATAAATATCTTATAACTCATTACTATTTTCACCATAAAATTCATTTTAAAAAGCTCTTTAAAACGAGATCCATTTATAATACATTTTAATAAAAACTAGAAAATCGGTAAGAATAAGTTTTAATTAGAAAAAAAAATTAGTTTGGTAAAAATACTTTCTGTTCATTAGAAATAATTTAAGTGCAATAAAAAATATCAAGTTAATATAACATAGATATCTATTTACAAATAAAACTATAAAAAGTACACTATTATATAAATAAGCGATATGATATCGTATATCTAAATATTTTAGATAATAACATGAAGTTTAGGACAATCCGGGCATTACCCAGACACAAAACTAGTATATATATAAAGGGGAGTTTTTTCTCGATTTTTTAGACCGCCACGTAGGATTTTAATTTTTAAAAAATTATTAGAGCGCCACGTAGGACTAATATTTTTAAAACACTACAATTGAATTATGCCACGTAAAATTAGTTTTTTTAAAGCGCTACGTAGGATTATAATAAAAAAGCACCACGTAAGATTAATATTTTTAAAACGCTACAATAGGATTATGCCACGTAAGATTAGTTTTTTTAAAGCGACACGTAGGAATATAATACTAAATAAAAATTTATAAGAGCGTCACATAGGAAAATGTTACATTTTAGCCAATGAATAAAAGAACTGCAATTTATTTTAGATCTAAAATTTTATATTAATTATAAAAATAAAATCAGTGTGTTTTTTTGTTTAGCTGACCATATTGTGTGGTCGGCTGAGACACACCAAAGCACTGACCGAGTAACCCCTGACCAAGTAATTTCGACTACACGGTGTGACCAGTCACATATAAAACTTTGTGAAATAAAATATTATCTTTTTATATAAGGAATTTATCTAAATATGAAAAGCAAAATTAATAATTCATTTTATAATAAAAAATTCAAGTAGTAAACAAGCGAATATCACAAAGTTTATGATATAAATATATATTTAGTAAAATATTTTGTTTGAAAAAATACAAACAAACCGTTCATTGCACGGGCTTCATCTAGTATTATATAATTATAAATTTTACAAAATTGCGGAGGATTACAATCTACCCCTCTTAAAAGGGCCTAATATTTTATAAAAATATGACCATTTTGAAATAATTCTAAACTTGCATTTTAGTAAGGGCCTAATTTTAAAAACTAGAACAGGGCCTCCAAAATGTTTAAGACGACCTTGTTTATATATGACAAAATCGCTCGTAAATTGGTGTAATTAATGTTTTTCAATCCTTGATATTTCCCTTTTTTGACTTCTTATACATAGGCATAAGGACTATTTTTTAATCATACTCCATATACTAATGTATTAAAATAAATACCGATTTAATTGTTTTTGAGTTAGTTTCATCCGTATATTAATGAATAAGTATATTAACTATCAAGTTATGCGTCGCTGAACATATGCCGAATATATAAGTCAATTGGTTGCAACTTTTGAGAAACATTAGGGTTACTTAAATGAGTATGATGCTCATTATAATCTTACGACAAGATAAGAAGACAAAAACAAGGAATTTTCATTAAATGAGATGGTTGGATGAGTAATTCAAGGAGAAAATACAAGTTTATCTTCGTGATAAACATAAATCGTTAATCTAGTGGTATTTTCGTAAATAAATTAACAAAATATCCAAGTCAGTATGACATTTTTGTAAATAAGTCAACATTTGTGGGACACGCATTTTAATAAAAGTTGTTAACTTATTTACGAAAATGCCATGCTGACTGGGATGTTTTGTTGATTTATATACGAAAATGTCATTAGATAAACAATTTTTGTTTATCACAAAGATCAACTGGGGCTCCCTCGTAATTCAAGAGCAAAACAAAGTGTTAATCTATATTTATATTCTATTATTAAAATAAATCAAGCCATCTTCTATAGTCTTCCATCGACAGCACCACCAAAGCCACCATCTGGTCCACCACCATCACATCCACCACCACTCGGAACCCATCACAGCCACCACCATCTCTCCGCCTTTCTCCGATCAAATCCACAAAAGCCTTCCTCTTCGTCCTCTTCTTCTTCCTCAACAATGGGCGCTTCGTGGCAAAATAAATAGACACCCTACTAGAATATAGTGTAAATTAGGGCCATATTAACCCCTTAGGAAAAGCCTTTCATTCACTGCGGTATTCTGAATTGTCATAGGCGGTGGCGGCATCGGTGTGCAGCGGATCGGGTGGAGGGGGAAGTGAGTTTATGGGTTAATGAAGGAAGAAAATGGTGAAAAATACAAAGTTGCCCCAATTACATAAATAAAATTACCCTAATACCCCTGATTTTATCAGATCGATAAACTTATATTTTCTGTGAGTGAAAATAGGAAGGTATTTATTCGGCCATCCTTTTTTCCCACCAAAACAAAACCCTCTTCCATTCGCCTCTCTTTTCCCAGTTCCCACCATGAAGCAAACTCCCACCTCCGGCGAACCCGAAACCCTAATGGACCTCACCGGATTCGATCCAACGGTCGACATCTCATCTCAACTGATGCAACGCTACTCATCTTCCTCCGCCCCACAACACCACCACCTCATCGCCACCGCCGCCGCCGTCAAATCCCTCCTTCTCGAAGAATCTCTCCCTCTCTCTCCTCTCTCCTACTTCGCCGCCGCCATTAACGAACTCTCCAGACCTCTAAACGACGCCGCTTCTGCCTCTGCTCTCGCCACTTTCCTCTCCATTGTTCTCTCGCTTGTTCCAGAAAGTTCCATTTCTTCCGAGAAAGCGGCGGAGGCTGCGATGATTTTGGTTACGGTTTTGGGGAGTGAGGAGAGAGAATTGATTGTTGGGTCTGCTTCTAGTGCTAGGTGTGTTGTTAAGTGTTTAGGGGTTTTGTTAGGGTTTTCCGATTTTGAGGATTGGAGTTCTGTTGATTTGCCCTTCCAAACTTTGCTTAATTGGTGCACTGATAAGCGCCCGAAGGTAATTCAATTTCGAGCTTTTAATTATCGCAATGTTTCGACTTTCAGGCTTGCATTGATATGTTGAAATCATTTATATGTTTATGTGATTGTATACGATAATTTGAGGTGGATTATTGCTTTTTAAACATTGCTCTTGACTATTGAGTGTTGTTTGGTTATGAAATTAATTAAAATATTTACGTCATTCAAGCATTTTTGAGGAGTGAAATGATTCAGTGAGTAATTACCGTCTTTTCTGGCATATTTAGAGGTATTGTTAGGTAAGAGGCGTTAAGGGTTTTATGAGGTGATAGTAAAGGAATTTGTAGGAGAAAAAACTATGTTTGATTGAAGCATTTTGTATAATGCCTGTCAATTACTTAATTGTAGATAGAATCTGTTGATTCTGTTCTCCGAACATATTGATGGCTAGTAGACATGATGGGGATGGGAGGAATTGCGTATTGTGTTGCCCTTTGCTTGATTGATTAAGTACATATGTATACTTAAGGATATAAAGTACACTGTTAATACAATATATACTTCCCAATGTACTTTACTTGATAAAAGATTATGCAAATATATCATAAATATTGTGTCGATACACTTGGAACCCCATGCCTTTGTCTGTCCACACCATAACTGTTAGCTAATGGTACCATCTCTGTAGCACGTTTAGGCCAGTTGCCCCTGCAAACGGGTACACGCATTTGCCCACTGTGAAATTACCCTTATTTAAGATTTAGGTTATGTTCTTGTCACCTTATTTTTCACTTAGTTAAGTTAGGTTTAGTTAAAATAAGTTCAGTCAAGTACAAGGGCAATAAATTCAAATACAATAAGTCTTATTAAGTAAAGTTCAGGTGAAGGAGAACACACTCGAATGGCTTCCACTGGGAGTAGGTTGTTAGGAGGAAAAACATTTGATTTGGTAATTGAAAATATGAAGGTTTCCTGATGGCCAGTGTTTGAAAAGGTGCGCCTAGACGTTGAGGCGCAAGGCGTTAGGGGTCATGCGCCTTTTGTGGTCTAGGTGAGGTGGTTTTGATGAGGCCCAGCTAAGTCTCGCCTCTTGGTGCGCCTAGGTGCATTAAGGCGCAGTTTAAGGAGCACCCCCTGAGCCTGAGGCGCACAAATATTTTTTCAGAATTTTTTTTACTGTTTATTATGTGCGCCTTACTTTAATGAGGCGCACATAGGCGTTCCTTAGGCGCCAGGAACTCCGAAACGCCTTGGTGCGCCTTGAGCCTTTGTATACAGTGCTGATGGCAGGTAGTTGTCTGTTTGCTATCAAGCTGTCAAGTTTGTTATTTTGGGAACTTATTAGCCATGCTAGCTAGCCCTGCTGTATTTTGCTCCTGAGTTTCCAATTGTTTCAATTCTTCTCCATGCTGGAGAACAATGGAGAAGATCAAGTGGAAACTGAAGGAGCTGCAATGGATCTGTAGATGGTTTTTTGTTGTAAAATTTGTAAAATATAGAACTTGACATGTGGATAATGTATTTAGTGTTCTGTTTCCATGAGTGATTGGAAATTTGGAAATTTTGTTGGTGCTAAGTTCTAATGGCATTGTTTTCCTCTTTTGCAGGTTAGAAAATGTGCTCTAGTGTACTTGGAGAATGCTCTTAAATCTTTTCAGTCTGAGACTGTGAAGAAAAAGGCGAGTGAATTAGTTATGTCTTTATTGGAAAGTTTTATGTCTATTGCGATCAAGTTGGGTGTGATACAAAGTGTGGATGGATCTGGAAGTGAGAGACAATGTGAAGCTGAGCAGTTGGACATCGTGCATGCGTTGAACATTGTGAGGGTTGCTATACCATATCTTTGTGGCGAAAGTAGTGAGAAAATCATTTTGAAATTAATCGAACTTCTTGATTCACGCTCTTCTACGTTTTTAAGGCCTGTTCTTAATGCTATTGAAGTATTCTTAGAAAAAGTTGAAGTTGGATTTAGTACGCAATTAGCTGGGAAAGTAATTGATGCCCTTTCGACATATGTATCTTCAGAAATGAAATCCAATGACAGCATCATTTCTGCAGCAAACTTACTGAAGATTACTCTTGACAAACTTCATGCACGAGACACTGGCAAATGGAATAAGAGTCTTCCTGTTGGAGTTAATGCCATTGCAGGTTGCCCTGCTGACCTTTTTGATATATTCTGACAGTGTTCTTAGGTTTACGCCTGCATAAATGATTTTAAGTAATCTTCTCAAGCAAAAAGCAGCAGTGTCTTGATCTTTGTTTGGGAGTTGTTTTTTACTCAGTATTCTCCCACATTATTAAAGTTTGTCAGCTATCATCCTTGTACAGTTTGATCTTACTTTTTCTATTTGCAAATTTTGATGAAACTTCAAGTTTTAGAGGTATGATTAACTGCTCTTTGTTCTTTTTCTTTTCTACTTTGACTGGCAGGGCTTCTTACACGTGAGGCTGATATTGCTTCAAAGTCTTCGAGCATTTTGAGGAAATTGATTGATGAACAATTGTCTGATGACATTAATTTCCAACTAGCTAATGTAGAGGAATCAAAAGCAATTGCATCAATTTGCTCAACCTTCATCAAATTGGTGGATTCTTTTGATGGGATTCCCAATGAACATACAATAGCCGTTCTATCTTTTCTTTTCCTCAAACTTGGTAAGCAGATTCAAAATCTATTGCTCTATGGTGGTTTGGTGCTGAATTCATTTCATGTTTTGTTCTTCAACTATTTTGAACATCAATTTCAACTGTAGTCTTACTTATTTGAATGTTAGATGATGTCTCATCTTGCTTGGTCCTTACAAAGTTAAAAAATTTGAATCTCTGTAGATCTGTTGTGTTACATTTGTATTGTTGAATGAGATTCAATGCCGTCACTATCTGTGTGAACTGTGGAATATGTGTTCTCTTGGTTTTTCACTCTCTTCCATGCTTTTGTCTCCACTGTGCCTCTTGTGAAATTCTCTCTTCTGCTACTTCTATAAAGCTCTTGGCTCACTGTTTCACTTAATTTGGAACTCCCGTAATTAAATTGATGGAGATAAAGCTCTGGTCTACAATGCTGATTTTGTGTTGATGCATGTGTTTAGGATGGTGTCGTGTTGAAGCTTATTTTTATTGGTATGCAAAAGAAAATAATTGGGATAGAAGAAGAGAGAGAAAGCAGTTTGAAAGAAGTTTAACTTTCTTCTGTTGAGTGTTGACTCCTTTAATATCTGGGTTTTATAGGCTTACAGATGTCTAGTGTGTCATCTGTAGATTACTTTAGGTTGGCAGTTATGGTTGATTGAAGCAAGCTGTCTGAAGAAATAATAAAATCAGTCAATACGTAGTGGATTGTAAGCCAATGGTCAAAATTAGATGTTTTGTACGAAGTAGTTTTGAAAAAAACACAACTTAAACTGGAATCAATTTTTCAATTTTAAATAGTTTGAAAACTGGAAATTAAAATGATATCAATCTTCTGGATTTTATCACTTTCCAGTTGAAATTAGAATGTAATTTGAGTTCTTATCGAGTTGACTTTGGTTAATTTTTACTTTGTACTCCGTACTAAGTATCTTGAATAACGTTGTTTTTAGGTGCATGCTGGACACCTTTGGTGCGCTTTAGAAAAATCATTGATACTTTCCATTCTGAAAGTTAGGACAGAGTCGTTAAGGGATCAATTTTCTTGAGACATGCTATGCTACATGAAAAACGTCCACGTTTTGATATCTCACTGAAATGTTTTGCAATGGACCGAGGTATCCCTGAAGTGGTCCTCACTTATTCAAGGAAGAAGGGAGGCACTAAGGCAAATGGCAATTGTCTTCTTGCAGCAGATTCGGAGTAGCCTAAACAACAGACCTCACCCAAGGAAACATCAATGACCTGGCAGCAGGGAATGAGGAAATGACAGCAGCACAAAAAGACAAATGAAGCAGCCGCTAGAATCATCTTAGGGATGTGTGATGTAAATATAAAAAGGGAAGATAGCATTGTATTAGGCAATCAATTTGAGGGAATATTATAGACTTGTGACCTAAAGTGGAGAGTTGTGGGCTAAACCCACTGTTTGTAAGAAACCTTTTTGCTTGAACATTAATCAAAGAATATTCTTTCTTTCCCAAATTTGCTTGTGTGTGTTTGCTTGATTGTGAACTTTGAATCCATTACAAGTGATATCAGAGCACATTGGTCATGGTGAATTCAACCACGCAGAGGCTCAATGCTCTAGAAGAGCGATTTACTGGAGTAGAGTAAAAAATAGCTTCTTTGGAAGAGAAACTTAATACTTAGGAGGAATTGGCGAGCATGGTAGTTTCCAACGCCGTGGCCGTTGGCGGAAGGGGTGGCTGAGGCGGCCTAAAAGGCTCTCGCCGAGCAGCTCTTTGCGGCCCTAGAAGTGAGTAACGAGAAGAACTAGAAGGACGTGTAGGATGTCGTCTCTTGCCTTAAGGGGCGAATTGACCGATTTCGATAGGGTCATGAAACTCAAGCAAACTTGGAGAGAAGGCAGATGGAGAAGTTTGGAGAGGAGATAAGGCGTTGGAAGACCCAAATGTGCGGTGACCTGCGCCAAACTTCGGAATTGTGGTGGCCGGAAATCTTGATAACGGAGAAGAGGAAGTTGTAGATGGAAGAACCTCAGGAGACACAAAGAGAGTAGGTTGATGGTGGGGGAGGCACTAATCGGAAGTATAGAAGATCAAAACTCCACTATTTGACGTGAACGACCTTGATGGGTGGATTCTCCGTAGCCACCAATAATTTAACTTTTTTATTGGTTGTGGGAGGTTGAGGAACTCAACGGTGGTTTCCTTAAGAGGGGGTTGCCTTGATATGGTTTCGGCGGCGCCCTGAGATTGGGTGGGGCAATCCGAAGAGAAGGGTGCTCCAACAGTTTTGGCTAACCAACGTGGGATCACTGCACGAACATTGGTTAGCCGTGAAACACACTTCCACAGTGGCGGCTGAATAGCGTTGGAAGTTTATTCCGGAAACCATCATGTTGGCCCACTTTATAAATAGACTAAATGTTGTCATCTAAGGCCGACATCAAGCTTTTTGGCCCATTCAACCTTTAACATGCCATGTTAGGTCACTAGAGTGGAGGAAACTGGATAGGTAACATAAAAAAATAATCTAGGTTTGGGTCTACGAAATCGGGTTCCTTTATTCAGCCTAACAAGATGTATGCTCGATCCTCATCTTATTTTACAAGTCCAATAGTTCGGGGCCTAGTAAAGGGGAGACAAAAGGGTTGAATCACAAGGATCTGTAAACCTAACTTGCAATATATCTTCTTCCTCAAGGGAATTTGGCGAAACTAAGAGGCCAAACTAAGAGGTTAACTGAGAAGGAGCTTTAGGAGAAAATAGAAAAAGGGCTCTGCTTTAGATGTGACGAGGGCTAAGCAAAAGTACTCGAAAAACTAAAACTCTAAAAACTCGATTTGTAACCGATTCGAAAATTATGGTATTTGATGTGATAACCATAACGGTTCGGGTATTCGATCTTGTTATCGGGTATCATTTTAAAGGTAACGATTACTCAATCCAATCCGATAAGCAATATATATATATTTTTTTCCTACTTAAATGTATTTATCCAAGATCTAAACACTTACATTAGTGCATAATCACTTAATAACTTGAATGATTAGTAATATTACTAGTAATTTGGTCAAGATCATATGGTATTGTTGATTTGTTGTTAATTAGTGTTGAATGATATCATAAAAACTAAATTATAAAGTTTAAATTTTTATTATTGGATATCATATCGGATATTCGATAACTGATCCGAAAATTCGGATACTTGAACTTATCGGTTTAGTTCATAGATATCTTCTTTGTGTTATTGGTTATTGGTTACCCGACTGATTAGTGTTAATGATTGGGGAACTCTAACGAGGGGTGGGGAATAGGGCATTGGTGCAGGAAGAAGGAACTTAGTGTGCTTCTAATTGGAGATGATAAAGAAGGGTTTGGCGACTCGGCGAGTAGAAGGAGGAAGAAGTGGTGATGGAAGAGGTTGGAACGCCGACAGAGGTATCCTTGTGCTCAGTGGTCTGGCTTTCGAATTCTCCCACCATGTTGAGGGGCACAATTGATCAAATTGGGTAGGTGGTGGTGGTGATGGTGGATCTCAGAGCCACACACAATTTCATCTCGACGAAGAGAGTGGAAGAGTTAAAGCTTTCCGTCATTGACTCCGGGAGTTTGAAGTGTCATTGAGGAATGGAGAGATGATTAAGGGTAGAGGAGTGTGTAGGGGGGTTCGAGTTATATTTTTAAGAGGTTGTGTGATCAAACGCGGATGTGATTTTAGGGATGCAGTGCTCGAGATGTTAGGTTCGATTGTCATGAATGGGCGAACTCATATTATGCAGTTTCAGGTGGCCGGAGTACTCGTTTCACTGGATGGGGACTCAACCTTAGAGAGTTTGCAGGTATTCCTTAAAGCCATGGTCCTCACTTATTGAAGGAAGAAGGGAGGCAAATGGCAACGGTCTTCTTGCAGCAAATTTAGAGCAGCCAAAACAACAGACCTCACCCAAGGGAAACATCAATGACCTGGCAGCAGGGAATGAGCAAATGATAGCTGCACAAAAAGACAAATGAAGCAGCCACTAGAATCATCTTACGGATGTGTGATGTAAATAAAAAAAGGGAAGTTAGCATTGTATTAGGTAGTCAATTTGTGTGTATTATAGACCGGTAACCTAAAGTTACCATAGGAGAGTTGTGGGCTAAAACCGCTGTTTGTTAGAAACCTTTTGGCTTGAACATTAATCAAACAATCAGTCTTTCTTCCCCAAATTTTGCTGTGTGTGTTTGCTTGATTGTGAACTGGTCTGTATACATTACTGGTCTGAATCATTCCCTTCTCTCTCCTCTCAAGCCATCGTCCTCAATTATCTGGAATTGAGAGTCTATCTCCCTTCATTGCTGAGACCTCCTGACCACCTTTTTCTCCCCAGATTTCCAATTCCCTGTTTTTGGATTCATACAAAATTGCCCTCTGCTGGCTGTATACTTCTGGTTGTCTGATCAATATGTTATTCGATAGAGGGCCAGTGCCCCTCAATAAGTGAGAGGGGAGATAGACAGAGGTACTTGATAGCCTTGACTAGGGATCCTGTAGTAGTATGTTGAGTACTAAATTCTGTAATATGTCGCATGGAAAATTGAAGCACAGACAGTCTATACGACTTTTTTGTAATTTAATTAACATTTTCTCATTATTTGAAAATTGACGTTTGTTCAGTCCGGTTTAAGTTTCCATTCCTGTTCTTGTATCCATTCTAGATTTCTAGGCAGAAGGCATGTATCTGTTTTATATTTTTAGTCACATCTCCAATGTTATTTTTCACTTGTTGGGAAAGACAGTGTCATTTTTTTTAATCATTAATCTGATGCAGCATCTTCTTGATTGGGTGTATTAATTTTTGTCACTTCTCTTTGTTTTAATAAGAACGTCAAACTTCATCTCTGTAAATATGTATAGCAATACAGGAGAGCTTACTGATAACTGATGATTGCTGATTTTTTTTGTGGATCATGCATACAGCATCAACTTTGATCTTGCACACTTACATATGCCTAATTCATGTGTCTATTTCTCACCTTTACTTTTACATACCTGACGAGCCATAATTTTCCTTTTCAAATTTAGGTCGCAATTCATTCTCACATATGAAGAGTATTATCCTTAAGTTGACAGAGATCTATACACATGTTGATGGCAGCAAGCAGAACACAGATCGTGTAAGAATCTTTGTCAGTGTCTGTGCGCTTGCAAGTGTGTCTATGCTCATGTTGTGGTGTCTGCATGTGTATACGATATTTGTGTGTGCTTCTCTTCTCTGTCTGTTTGTCTGTATTGATTTCAATGGGTATCTTTTAGTACTGAGTATGTTTGGACTTTTACTTTTTGAAAGACCAGTTAATGTTATTCATCGTTTCTCATCTGTATATTCTGCTATTGCTGATAATATGCAGGTCACCATTGACTCGACAAGTTCTTATTCTATGATTTATATCTTTAAAGCTCCGTATGGTTGTCAGTACTAAATGGTAGTTATGGGAATAATTTATAGTATAATTTTGAAAGAAAAGTGTCATCTTAATGTCCGGTAATGCAACTCTATCCCCAAACGGCCAAACTTGTGTTTTGCTTCATAAATTTCTATTAACACTTAATACAACTTGCTAAGTGGTGATGGATAAAAATGCAAATTTATGAAGAAATAGAGATACTTTAAGGTGGAATAGAGTTACCATGGGAATGACATAAGATTTTTGTACAAACTTACCTACAAATGCATTCCCATTACCACCTTTTCTTATCACTTATCAAACGGGCATGTCTATGTTTTAGAGAACCTTCTATAAAGAGTACATTGGAGATTGTAAAAGGGAAGTGATGCAATTTTTCAGTAATAGAGAAAGGATAATAAACCAAAAACTTATGGCCTTTTGTGACAAATGGACGGATGTAGCCAGAAAAAAGGTTCTAATGCGGGGAGTCACGTAATGGATGACATACTTACCAGGGTTTTGAAGAACGTCAATTCCAAAATCTGTACAGAAAGGCTGTTATGTAACAAAACGACTGAGCTTTGATTTCACAGCTCTGCCCATTTGTCAAATTTGTTTGGATTTACGCTGTCTACTTTACTGCAATCAAATATTTTATCTTCATTTACCTTTTTTTTTTTTTTCTACTTTTGCACTTGGTCGTCCTGGATTCATTCATAGTGAATGAATGTAATGTTTTTGCTCCATCTAACGGTCATGCACTCATGCCTCAATGTGATATTTGTCCATGCTTATCACATCCTTAGGCTTTTGTAGTGCACTTATTTTAACAAAATTGTATGGTAGATTGGTAGTTTTATAGATAATGCCTGGCTCTTAGCTCCTTTTGCACTCTGTTGCTTCATTTTGTTTTTTAACGTCTACTAGCTAACAAAAGGGGTTGGCTTTTTTTGCAGCTACAAATCTGTTTTGGCTGTGCTGTAGTTTCTATGGGAGCTGAAAATATTCTAAGCCTTGTACCAATTTCTTTTAATGTGGATAATTTAACATATGCAAACATGTGGATGTTGCCCATTTTAAAAAAGTATACCTGTGGGGCATCCCTCGGATATTTCACGGAGAATATTGTGCCCATCGCTCAGTCACTCCAAAAGGCTTCTCGCAAAGGTAAATTATGGCCTGTGTAATACTGTCATTCCTCTAAAATAATTTTGTTCTATTGTCCTCCTGTCAATGCTATGAGAATATTGGAGGGAGAAAAAGTGATGTGATTGCTAGTGATGGAATGTTTTCTTGCCTTTTGCAAATCACAAAAACCCATATGAAAGACCCTGCATTTTTTTAATACTCAGTTTTGGTTGTACCTGTAGAGGCATCTTCTGTTGGTTTTAAAATTGGAAAGATATTCCAAAAAGATAATTAATTAATAAAAGTACCCTTTCTTGAATTTTTGTATAAATTTTGTACTTCAGGAATATCAACACACTTTAGCTTTTAAAAGATTTATTAAATAATTTTAAATTTTGCAGTTTACCCATTGTAAGAGATTATTTTCAGAATTATAATAAATTAAAAATTCAAAGTATTTTTTTATGCTTCAGAATGAGAATTTTTTCAGAAAACTGCTGAACTTAAACTTAATGGCATTTATTTGTTATATTTTTGCTGCACATTTACTTTTATGTTTGACAATATATAACTTTTACCATTATTATATACTACCTCTGTTCTTTTTTGTTCTACTCACTTACTATAGATACGTAATTTAAGAAATGTTGCTATAATAAAAGAATGAAGTGAATTTATTATGATTTTTTTAAAAAATATTGCTGACTATAATTTTCAAGGCATGACACATCATCTTTCAACTGCAATTTCAAACATTAAAGTAAAATTGTTTTTACAATTTAGGACACCAAATTGAGATTGTGCAAAGCAAGAGTGACACTGCTTTGGTTTTCTTCTATGCATGAGGATGAGGCATTGGATCGTAAGGGATGGAGGAGGAAGATTTTTGTCGATGACTACACGAAATAATCAAATTTGGTTCATGTAGCCTTCTACTTATGGGATTAAGGCTTTGATTGATTGATTGATTGATTGAAAGAGTGACACTACTTTGGTTTTCTCCAATGAAATTTCTTATTTATAAAAAATCCTTTTCTTTGTTTCTCTTTCCTTGGGCTTCAATGACACTTTTTTTGAGGATATTGTTTTAGGATTGGTTAATAGGTAATTAGGGGTCAGGGTTAGATATCAATATATAGTAATAGTACTAGGAAGTATTCAGTTTTTCTTTACGTCTTTTATTAATTTTTTAGTTTATGGAACCGTTTCTAGTGAGAGCTGTTTTTCTATTCTGTTAATTACATGGTGAACCAGTTACCAATATCGTAACTTAAGATTGGTGCTTTTTCCAGTTAAAAAGTCAGAAATAGGACAAGATCTGCAGGCTCTTGGCCATGGTTTATGGGGTCTTTTACCTGCATTTTGTCGCCATCCAATTGATGTCAGCAAGAGTTTTCAATCCTTTGCGAAATTGATGCTCTTCCAGCTGAAGAAAAATGCATCCATGCGTGAAGATATTGCTGATGCCTTGCAGGTTCTAACATTTCCCAAATGTTTAAACATGGCCTATTTTGATTTCTTCTTTCTTGGTTTTATCAATAGTCACATCTTTGTGTAACCTTTTGATAATCTTCTTTGTGTAGGAGCTTGTTAGACAAAACAAGTGCTTTCCTAAATTTGATGCTGCTATTGTTGAACCTGTAAAGCACTCACCTGACTTTTCATTGGAAGATTATCTAATGGAGAAAAGAAAATCATTCTTTTATTCCAAGAAAACTGCTATAAAAAACATTAAGGCTTTGGCGTTGTATTCTTGTGAACTGCTTCTGGCTCTGATGACTGTTTTTCTTGATTCAAAACCTGCAAAGCGTACATCTCTGAAGGTATCTTTAAAATTATTAGCTTGTCACCATGTTTAATGTGATGATGGTTCATTGTTATTAATATATGTGTTTATCTATACACGTCTTCCTTTCAAATTCTCCACTAGTATAAAGTATTGTCTCTTTACCTCATGTTTACATATATGAGGTTTGGATTATGGCTGGTTTGGGACACATTGTTGACGACTGCGAGAGATGTAGATTTTCTCATAAGGTGCATTAAACAGTGCTGAAGCCAAAAGGGAGGGGGGTTTATGGTGGGTAACATGGGTCAATTGTTTACAAAATAATTAATGGTTTCAGAAATACACTGCCAAAATATCCATGCTATGAGATGATCAGGTTTTCATTCTTAGCAATCTAATATTGATTAGGATGTTGTGAAAAAGGTTTTGCTAACTGTCTTAAACCGTTTATTAAATCTTCATACAAAACCTTATTTGACTTTATTGGTGTTATAGAAAACCTCTATATATTATGCATTTTATGGTCACTAATTTCTCATACCACTGGTTTCAAATTCGCCCAGAAAGCTATCAGTTGCTTGGCCTCAATTTCTGATTCTTCTTCCACCAAGAAGATTTTTTTTTCGTCTCTGGAGAGGTTCCCAGTGGTGAAGACTGTTTCTGTATCTGAAGATTCTGATCCATCAAACTTATTACTTAGTGATGTGCCATCGGATTCAAGCTCTGTAGATGATAATTCACAGTGGTATGGGATCTCTGTTGTTGCCTTATGATTTTGAAAAGAAACTTGAATATTTTTACTTACACTTATTTAAGAGTGGTTTCAGTCTAAACTCTAAAGTTTGGTGCTGTGATAATGTTCCCTGTTCACTCTCATGATGTATGTCAATTAATTTCAACTTTGTGTAGGCCTTTGATACTGGATTTAGCTTCATCCATTGTGGAGGGAGCTGATGAGGATCTTGTCGGTCTGATCTTTAGATTGACAAAGCACGCGCTGCAGGTTTGTCTTGTTTTCTTCACATAGTTGACTTGTCCAACTTGTATGTATAGAGCTGACATATGTGTTCCTGTGACTTAGTCTGGTGATGACAAATGTATTGCTGAAGCTTATTATACTTTGAGCTGTATTCTAGAGGTTGGTGCTTATTTTTTAATTTTGGCAAAAGTAAGCTCTGAAAATTTGATATGTTTGTACTCATTTTCTACACGTTTTTATCTGGTTCAGGAACACCCTTGGTTCTGTTCTTTGAAAATGGATGAGCTTGTGGATCTTATAATTGGCTTGAAGTCTCCTGCTGATATTGCTTCTTTCAGCAATCGCCTAAGTTGTTTTCACTTATTGTTGGTCCATGCTTTAAAGGTGTAATTTTTTTTTTCCCTTTCTCTATATGCTTTACATTGCAGGAAAATTGACATGCTTATTTAATTAATAGTATTATGTTGTTGAATGTGAAGTGGAGTGGAGTGGAGTCGGAGGAAGAAGGGAAGAAGTAAGGGATAAACCCTCTCGAAGTTTAGTTTTTTTTTAATCTGCAAATTAGTCTATTTTAGTTGTGTTTGTGTGTGTGTGTGTGTGTGTGTGTGTGTGTTGTTATTTTGGAGTCTTGTGCTATTTATGTGCTGCAGAGGCAGTTCTGTACTGTTTGTGTGTCATGGTTCACTGTTAGTGCAAACTGTGGCATTACTAGTGTTTGGTAGCTTATCTGAAAACTTTAATGTGGATCTTTTCGGGGGGGGGGGGGGGGGGTGTGTCCTGCTTGTTTTTAACGCCAGTAATATGAAATCCGCTGTGCATGGAGGCTAATTTCATTTTGATAGCTTTGAGCATCTGTATGGATTAAACTGACTTTGAAATGATATTGACAATGAGGTATTCAATTTTGCAGAGCAATTCTGATGTGGAGAACACACAACCTTTTCAAATTTTAAATGAGATTATACTTGCTCTAAAAGATGTAAGTGCTAATCTCAGAATTAATCTGAATGTGCTCTTCTAATTTTCTCTACATCCTTTCACTTAGTAGCATTGTTGTGTAAAATAACTCTTATTTTGTGTTCTATTGTCCTCAGTCCAGAAAAGAGGCCAGGAAAATAGCTTATGACTTCTTGCTCAGAATAAGTTCTTGCTTAGTAGATTCATCTGCCGCAGATCCTGATGGTCCATACTACAAACTGATTACTATGGTAGGAACATTATTTCAAAGCTGACTTACTCTCTGTTTCTTACTGTTCTACCCATTTACTATAACACTAAATACTAAGGAGAAGAGAGAGGCAGGACCACCCATATGGGGTAATGCTACTTTTTGGATGAGATAAATAAAAATTAAGGTATCTAATTGTTGATATGAATGGGTCCCAGAATGTGAGCTCTGAGAGGATAGGATATGAAAAAACTCTTCCCAGAGAAAAAAGGAGGAAAGTAATTTAGCAAAAAAAAAAAAAAAAAAAAAAAAAAAAAAAAAAAAAAAAAAAAAAGAAGAAGAAGAAGATGATTATGGAAAGTGGGTAGAACAAAAAGAACTAGACAAGTACTAATAGAAATATTCTATTTTCCATAATGCTAGGCTAGTAGGCTGTACTATGTTGAACAGGATTGTGGCTTGTAAATTTCTGATTGATTTGATATCCTTTGTGCACTTGGATTGTTCTAAAGTGTTAATTTCATGTATGTGTTTCTAGTATACTTCGGTAATGACTAATATATTGTTACCGCAAAATGACTAGGTTATGGGGTATCTCTCTGGCCCATCACCTCATGTTACAAGTGCAGCCATCGCTGCATTGTCTATGTTTGTATTCAAGGAACCGGAGCTCTGTGTGAAAATTCCAAATGTAGTTTCCTCTGTTGTATCTTTGCTACAGACTAAAGCTGTGGAAACTATCAAGGTTAGTACACTAGAAAATGTTGTGGTTATCTGGTAGCCCATTGCCCATTATCTTGGATGATCATTCTTGGCTGTTACCCGTGCAGGCTGTTTTAGGCTTTATCAAAGTATTGGTTTCATCTCTAGAAGCAAAAGACATGCATAATTTTTTACCAGCTATTGTTGATGGAGTTCTCCCATGGTCATCTATCTCAAGACATCATTTCAGATCAAAAGTAACTATTCGTTGAACATGACTTATAATTTGCTTGTTGATGTGAATGCACAATTTCATGTGATATTCTTCGTTTTTATGATTACTAGGTTACTGTGATACTAGAGATCATAATACGAAAGTGTGGCTTTCCTACAATTAAGTCTGTGACTCCTGAAAGATACCAGTCATTCGTGAGAAAAGTTTCTCAGGTATGAATGCATGATCTCTTACTTTTGCATCTGCATTAATGGTAAGTATTGCCCTCTTCATGTTTCCCTGTTGACAAATTCAGAATCGTCATGGGAACACAAACTCCAAGGAAGCTGATTCAGCTGATGCGAAGCCACAACTATCAAATATTCAGACAAACGGGTTTGGATTCGTAGTTTTTTTTTTTTTTTTTTTTTTTTTTTTTTTTTTTTTTTAATCTTTAATGCTATATATATTCCTTATTATTTGCTGCTTCTTCATCCTTCAGGTCAAAGAAGAGGTCATATAACGAGGCAAATGACAATGGAAGAGATTCAAAATTGCCGAGGAACCATAGGAGGAAACATATGCAAGATTTTCAGTCTGCCGGAGGCTCTAGGAGAGCTGATGTGGGAGCTGATAGAAAGACCAATCAATTTAAGCGTAATAATTCTAAAACAGGTCAAAATCAAAAAGGACAGAAATTCGATCGAGCCTCTGGCAGTATTCAAAAGAGACCTGGACCAACGAATGGCCATACCGGAAGATTTGGCCGAAAGTCATAATCATGCAGGTGTTGGCAAAGTTTTGAAAATATAGCTGACAAAACATAAGCGAAATAGAACAGTGAATACACAGCTTCAGTTGAGTACACACCTGCCCTTGTAAAACAGGGTGACTCGTTAATGAAGTTCATCTCGCAAAAGGTAAGATGCGTAAGATTGTCGATCAGAAAACAACCCACTTTATAGGTAGGGTTGTTTGAATAGCTTCTGAAACTGTTAAGCACAGCTACAATATAGTTGGCTTGTAAAATTTTGATTGAGAAAGGTTTAACCTTCTTAAATGAAATCGATCTTCGTATGCATTAGCTGCAGCTTTGAGACTTTAAGTGGTGTAGATAGTCTTGATACTTCTCGTTGGATTCATTAACTATTAGGAGCTGCATAGGAAGAACAATAAACTGTGATTTATGAGGCTTAAAAGTTTTGCTTGGCGTGTTTTATGTTTAATAATGATTAGGGTTGTCAAAAGCTGACACAACACGATAACCCGATACGAACCCGACACGAAATAAGCGGGTTTGGGTCAAGAATTCTCGACCCGTTTAAGTAATTGGATCGACATGAACCAAACATGAAATTAAACGGGTTAGGTTTGGGTGGAAATTTTCAACCCGAAACCGACACGCATAACCTAATTATATTAATGGTTTGAATGTCAATTCGTTAACCAGAATTCGACATGCTTAACTTGTTTATTGAAGTAGTTAAAATAATGAATTTTCTTGTGCCAATCTTACTAACCCTTCTAACTACATAATTTGGTAGTATAAAAACTTTAGTAAAAACTTTTAGCGGGGCAATACTTTTGGTTTGGGCGGACAAATCTTACTACTCTTTCACTTTAAAGTCTTATATAGTTTTGACTTACCCTTAGTCACCCACCCTTAATTCTTACTCTTTTTTAATTTTAAATATGAATATTAATTAGTTTATTAAGTACTAAACTATATAATGTATCGTATGAATTAATAAAGTAAGTGGGTAAAAGGTTACACGACTAACTCATTTAATAAACGGGTTAGGTTTGGGTCAAGGATTTTCAACCCGTTTAATAAATGGGTTAGGTTTGGGTCAAGGGTTTATCAACCCATTTAATGTTGACACGAACACGAACCCGACACGACACAACCCGTTTGACAGCTCTAATAATGATAAGAGTATATGTAAAATATCCAATTCTATTTTAACTATCGTTAACCATGGCATTAATATGGCTTATTGTGATTCTATACATTGATGGTATTGTTCATTTGCTCTAATCACTTTTGTCTGATGAGCAACAGGTTTGTATCATAAATTTCTTATGTCCTTTTTGTGGCATTGAGTTATGTCTCAGGAATTGTTGTCACTCACACCTCTTCTTATGTGATTCTCTTTAGTAAAAATAGGATAATAAATTTTAAGGCTTGCATGCACTTCAGCACTTGTACGGTTCAATCTTAGTGTTGATACATACCCTCTTGTATCTTACTCACTTTATACTGTATTTAGGTGTTTTACAAAGTCTCACTTTTATGTTGTTCGTCTAATTTGCAAATTATGCATGATTCTATGGAGCCTCATTTCAATGCAATGAAGCACATCATGCGATGTGGTCATGTACTGTTTATCATGGTTTGCATTTATGTCCATTTGCTTTGACACGATTGATCACTTATATGTTCATTTATGTCCATTTGCTTTGACAGCCATTCTAACTATTGACTATTATTGTTTCCTTGGTGATGATTTGATTTTATGGATATCAAAGCGTTAAGTTGCTTTCTCATGATCTTAGTGTTGGGATAATTGGGATTAGATTCTTAGTAGCCCACAGATTTTGAAAAGAGGCAAAGAATCAATTAAAGAATACAAAAATTGACTTACACAAAATAAGGAAAGAGCTAAGAAAGGAAAGATGCATGGTCAAAGATATCAAAGAATATTCAATAGAATTCTAGCTCATTAATCAAGGATTTGATTGGACCAATCAAGGAATCAACGAATCAATCAAAGACCTTATGAAATCAAACAAAACTGCAAAATCAATCAATTAAAACTATTTCAAGAAACGAATCACTTGATTAATGAAATCTGATCCACGCAACTATACAAACCAAGTATTGACAATACAAACTCAAGTCACCTTCCAAGCCTTTTTGATGGATATTTTTCTTTTTTAGTTAACAACTTTATCTATCTCTGTCATATCACATAGATCCAATTTTTTCATTCACTTAATCTCTGTAATGCTTACATCCATCCACGCCCTAACTGGTACAAGTTAAAATTCATCCTTGCCCACCACCCATTTGGTTATCCATATCCATTCCAAACCCACCCCAGCACCCACAGGTTCGTACAAATGTACAATACTTACATCCATCATTCCATCCCCACCCGAATTGGTACAAGCTAAAAGCATCCCTGCTCCACCACCCATTTGACTATCCATACTCGCTCCAAACCCGCTAGCTGCTACATTTTTCCACCAAAAAAATTAATATAGTACCACATACTACTTATGTTAACAACAATAATTGTACATATGTGCCACTACCATACATTCATTAATATGACTATAATCCCCCTAACTATAGTGATTAAATTGGGTGTATGAGAAGAGGGGCGGCTGCCAGGATGAGTGGGTACATGGCGGGTCTAGTGTAAAATTCATATTTGACCTATTACCCATGACGGGTATAATTTTTATCCCCATCTCACTCCATATCTAGCCAAACCGCCCCTTAGATGAAGATGAGGTAGGTCTCTTATTTAACCAGCCCCAATTAACATTCCTAGATGGAAGTCATGGACTCATGGAGCCATGGGACATAGACTTTATCCGATCCACTTACAGTCTTACACCCATACTAAAATTTGTCAAAATAAATACTGGTAGTAAACCGTTGGCAATTTTTGGCAAAACCCCAATAGAAGAGTGGGAAGGTTTATCTCTTCATTCACATTTCCCACCATTTCTTCACAACCTTTTCTGCAACATCTTCCCTTAACCACTGCGTCTCTTCTTCTCTGACGCTCATTCTAATGACAGCAATAACTTCTCAATTTCAATCTTCATTAAACTTCACCCAACAATTACACCCCAATCATCATCATCAATCTTACTCAAATCCCATAAAATCCACCATTTACCCAACAAAACCCACCTCCCAAACTCCCAAAAAAATCAAAACTTTACCTTTGAAAACAAATTCTGATGGCAAGAAATCCACAAAAAACCCAGGAAAATGGGAGAGAAAGAAGCAAGGCTATGTAGATTATGACAAAGGAGAACATCATGTGAGCGAGCACGTGAGTGGTTTGAGGAAGGATGATATTCCTAGAAGGTACAGGATTAAGGTGCAAGCAGATAAGTTTCAGAAGGATTGGTCTATTACTCAGGTGGTTCAGAAGATTTTGGCTTTAAATACTGGGGATGATATTGAGGGTATTTTGAATCATTGGGTTGGCAGGTTTGCTAGGAAGAATTATCCTGTTCTAATTCAGGTAAATTCTCCTTAATATTATTATTATTGCTAGTATTTTTATTTTTAATTTTTATAGTGAAAATTTATGTGAATGTGTGTCAAAGAGGATTTTCTATGTGGGGGTTTTCTAGGGTGTTTAATAAGCCATGGAAGGTAGTAGTGATGGAGACGGGATGCGAGCCGAGGTCTTGGGTAAGGCCTCTTGCAATTTTAACCAATTAAGCTAGTTGACATCCACTATGTGGGTTTCAAGGGTGTAGGTAAATGCTGTGGCTTTTGTTGGGTAATTTCAAGAAACTTTTGTGCTAAATGCATTTTAAAAAATATTATGCAAACTGGCAGTTTGGCTGCTTTTGGTTATTTTTGTTGATAATGATGATGATGATAGGGATGAGTGGCATTGTTGGTCAATGAGTTTGTGATTGTAATATTTGCTTGGGGTAAATTTGAGGACATTATTACATGTAGATGAAAACTTGATGAATTTAGAAGTTGGAAGTATAAAACCTTGGTATTTTGAAGGTAGCTCTCCACTTACATTTGAAGTTAATTCAAAACAATTGACAAAAATATAGCAAGCCTTTGAGTTGACTCTAGGGTTCCTAACCTTTATGATCCTTCAAACTATTGAAAATGTGCTCTTATCTGTGTTGTAACTGTTGTTCAATGGCCTATGGAGTTAGAATCTCCCAATTAATTTAATGAAAGGGTTTTCTCCATTAAATCCATGTCTAACAGTTCGAGATGCGTGAAATTGTCCTGTCCAAGTTCTAACATTTCCATCTTTGGCTATTCTTGAGAAACCGTAGTCTGCACGTTTAGAGCATGCTTGGATTGAGGGAAATGTATTACTAGGGTAATAAAAGTCAAACTAAGCAAAATGAAAGTAAATAGGGAAGGAGAAGATAGTGATGGTGTGCTTGTAAGAAAAATTATGTAGTGATGGTGAGGTATGAGGTGAAGGAAAGAGGCTCATTTTGGGGGTAATAGTTACACTAGGGGGAGGGTGTGTAACTATTACCCTCATTATGAGGGTAATAATTCCCCCATCTCTCTCTTTTCCTCATGGAACAACTACCTTATGTCATTTGTAAACACCATAGCTCCTACAACAACACCTCTTGTTACTTATATTTTTTCAAGTTTGACTTTTATTACCCCCTTAATGTATTACTCCCAATCCAAGCATGCCCTTAATGATATTAATTACACCTAGCTTGAAGGGTTTTTTCCCCCCTCCTAGGTTAGATTTGAGTGCTAAAGCTGTCCAGCATCATATGTTAAGAAATTGTCAATTGTTGCTTATGTTCTAATGCCAAGTATCATTGAACATTTTGAAGGTTCCAGGAATTTGTTCCTTTTTGTTTTTTTCTATGTGCTCATTGCTTGCACATTTCCACCATGGAATTCCACAACCGCCCCCCCCCCCCCCCCAAGGAAAAAAAAGGCGTAGTTTTTTTTGGATGAATATAAATAGTTTATTTACATTTTCCAGGTTTTCTGTTTTCATCCCAATTTGGCCTAAATCGTTTTTTCAGGAAATGAACTTATTGGGTTAACCTGTTCTGCTAAGTGATGGTCTTCCATGGAACTGGTATAAACTTTCAGTTATTCATTCCTTTTCTTGCTTCTGTTTCTCGTGAACCCTGACCAATGCTTAATCGAAGCTTTCAATGATTCTAGTTTTGCTCCCCCATAAAACATTTTCTTTTTGATGAATTTATGAGCATTTTTGTATTCTAAAATGATCAAGACTTGAAGAATATTAATTTGTACCCTTTTTCTTTCTTACTTTTCTCTTTACTTCTTTGGAACTTGGTAGTCTAGGTTTTGTGACCTGTGAACCAGATTGTTGAGTAGGTAAGTTGCATTTTCACAATGGACTTAAAATCTGATATCTGATTGTAGGAGTTGACTCAGTTGGGTTCTATTGAGCATGCAATTCATGTCTTCAGTTGGATGAAAAATCAGAAGAATTATTGTGCACGGAATGACATATACAATATGATGATCAGATTACATGCCAGGCAAAATAATGTAGATCAGGCTCGTGGCTTATTTTTTGAGATGCAAAAGTGGAAGTAAGTTCAAATGTGATCCATCAGAAGTTCTTATTGTATCATTCTTTGGTTGCTAGATGCATCTCATAAGCGATGGTTCTAATTTCAAATTACAAGATAACATACTTGCATTGCAAAAGTATGTTTGATTGCTTAATGTATATATTTTTTTTCCAGGTGCAAGCCAGATGCTGAAACCTATAATGCTCTCATCAATGCCCATGGTAGAGCTGGTCAATGGCGTTGGGCTACAAATATTATGGAAGATATGCTTCGTGCAGCTGTATGTAATTGTATAATTTTGCTTAGTTGTTTACGGAGGATTGGGGGGGGGGGGGGGATTTTCCCATGATTGTTTGTGTTCTATTACCATCTTTAGTAGATGACCATGGAAATTATATTGTTCTACATGCCTATTCCTTTCCAGCCTTTTAAGTTACTTTCAGGTTTTTTGCATATACAATAAGTACCTTGCCATATCTTATATCTGAGTATGAGTTTGGACTGAATTTAATGCAATATTACAGATTCCTCCAAGTCGATCAACATATAATAACTTGATCAATGCGTGTGGATCTTGTGGAAATTGGAGAGAGGCTCTTAAAATCTGCAAACAAATGACTGATAATGGAGTTGGGCCTGACTTGGTAACACACAACATCATTTTGTCTTCCTATAAAACCGGTGCTCAATATTCTAAAGCTTTGTCCTATTTTGAACTTATGAAAGGGACAAATATACGCCCTGACACTACAACTCTTAACATCGTAATATACTGCCTGGCAAAACTTGGTCATTATGAGGAAGCTGTTGGTGTTTTAAAATCTATGAGAGAGAAGAAATCTGAGTGTCGCCCTGATGTAGTAACATTTACTAGCATCATGCATATGTACTCCGTTTGTGGGGAATTTGAGAATTGCAAGGCTGTGTTTCACATAATGCTTGGTGAGGGTCTTAAACCCAATATTGTGGCTTACAACACTCTGTTGGGTGCATATGCCTCTCAAGGAATGAGTGAAGAAGCGCTGAAAGTGTTCAATGAGATGAAGCAATATGGTATTCGTCCAGATGTTGTGTCTTACACTTCTCTACTTAATGCCTATGGAAGGTCACAAAAACCGAAAAAGGCAAAGGAAGCATTTGACTTGATGAAGAAACATTGCTTGAAGCCAAATATCATTAGTTATAATGCACTTATTGATGCTTATGGTTCAAATGGTTGTTTAGCTGAGGCAGTGGAAGTATTGCGTGAAATGGAAAGAGAAGGTATTCAGCCTAACGTTGTCTCAATATCTACTCTTCTGGCAGCATGTGGTCACTGTTATGAGAAGGTAGTAATCGATTCAGTACTTTCAGCAGCTGAGAAGCGAGGCATTGAGTTAAATTTAGTTGCTTATAGCACAGCAATTGGAAGCTATATGAATGTTGGAGAATTTGACAAGGCATTATCTCTGTTTAAAGCTATGAGGGAAAAGAATGTGAAACCAGACTCTGGCATATACAATGTGCTGATAAGTGGTTGTTGTAAGGTGTCAAAGTATGATCAGGCTATTAATTTTCTTAACGAAATGACAGATTTGAACATTCCTGTCACCAAGGAGGTGTACTCCTCTGCTATCAGTGCCTATAGTAAGCAGGCAAGGGCCTACACATTATCTTTTGTTTTCTTTTAATTTGTATGGATGAAGCTGACTCCTCTTCTGCCTCCTCTCTGTGTTTGTCTCAGGGACGATTGGCAGAGGCAGATTCTATGTTTACTAGAATGAAAACAGCTGGTTGTCAACCTGATGTCATTACATATACAAAAATGATTCACGCCTATAGTGAAGCTGGTAAGGTTGAAACATGGAGCTCTGACATTCTTGTACCTCTTCTGGAGGGATTTGATATCTAAAGAGAGAATGGATTTTAACTGCAGAGAAGTGGGACAAAGCATGTGCAATTTTTCAGGAGATGGAGGCAAATGATATCCAACCTGATGTTGTCGCCTGTTCAGCTTTGATGAGGGCATTCAATAAAGGAAGTCAACCAGCTAAAGTTCTTATCTTACTGGAGTATATGAAAGAAAAAAACCTTCCACTTAGTAATGCCGTGCACTTTGAAGTCTTATCTGCCTGTAGCTTGTAAGTTTAGACAATTACTGGCAGCATATTGTTTGTTCTTGCACTATTTAATCATTGCTTGTCCGTTTTACTTCTGTATGTTATTTATTCGCTTCGGGCTCTCTTCAGTCACTAACATTTTAAATAAAATTGATTTATCGTCCTAAACTGTGTTTAATATCTTTAATAAAACAAGAGTGCTATTTTACTACTTTTTTTATTTCAAGTTCTGATTTACAATAAAATTGGCTGAAATGATGTGGCAGACTAATGTTTTATTTCCGCATGCCCTTACATTTATTAATTGGGGCATGAGTGTTGTACTTTGTTATATTGGGCTCATTAAGCAAAATGTATGCGTTTGGATTCATGATCCTGTGCATGTTTGTTTCTTTTCAACTCATGCAAGCTCATTGTAATCGTTTGGGTTTTTTCTTACTACTTGTTGACATCTGATTAGGACCTATATGACATTTGATGATTGCATGGTTGTAATGGTGCTGTGATGATATATCCTTTCTGTGATCTTTTTTCTAATTTTTTTAATGGCAAATACACAGACCAAATGTGTTGCTTTCACAAGGAAATAAAAGTGCTAGACACTGGTAGCTCAAATATCTCTATGTGCAGTAGATTTTATATTCCTGGTGCTCTTTGTTTAACTTCAGAACTTTGTTGCTCTGTTTGAAGGCTTCGGGATTGTGAAACGGCAATCAATCTGATTAATGTGATGGAACCTACATTCCTTAAAATCTCTACTGGTTTTCTGAATCACCTGTTGCAATTTCTTGGAAAATCTGGGAAAATGGAGGCAATGATGAAGGTAATCCAAATTTCTGCACAGGCCTTTTGGATTCTGAATTCTGACTAGTGCTTACAGTTGTTATGTATCTTCAACCATGCAGTTGTTTCTTAAGATAGTAGCATCAGGTTCAGAGATCAACTTTTCTACCTATTCAACCTTGTTGAAAAATCTTCTGGCGGCTGGAAATTGGAGAAAGTACGTTGAGGTAATTTGTTAATCAGTATTAGGCTGCTCATCTACAGTTCTTAATCCACTATCATGAGTGACAATCCCAGATAAGATTCCTCTTTTCTGTGAAAAATCATTAAAATTGAAGTTGCCAAAATTTCAGTGTTTTGCTACAGTCCTACTGGTAACCAAAAGAAGCAAGCCAGCTTCAGTAGTGGTAGTAGCTTCAAAGGGATTGGTAGTATGTCTCTTCTGAAAATTAATAAAATTGTAGATAAACTCATTTAAATCTTAAGAAAAAATCTTGTAATAGTTGTATCATGTCTTCCATTTATTCCTTTTATATTTAGATCTAATAAAATTTTGCAAAATGTCTGAATCACATTGCAGGTTTTGCAATGGATGGAAGAAGCAGGACTTCAACCTTCAGTTGCAATGTACCGGGATGTGTTGTACTTTGCTCAAAGAAGCGGTGGCTCTGACCTTGCTGCAGTCATTCAAGAGCGTATAGGTAAGTCTTCTCAGGAGATTCCCCCTTTATTTTAAACGTTAGCTATTTGTTTTATATGTTCAAACTGAACTTAAAATTTATGCCAGATTCCTTGAAAAGTAGGCCTCAAAACCTGGCTTCACGAAACCAGGTGTGCAGTTCGTCACTTTCAGCATCAGAGTTGACAGAGGAATGTGAACTTCATCCCCAAATAGCAACATAAATCTGTGCAATTTGTTCAAAGTTATAGTACGAAAGACTGAAGGATATGCTCAGTTTAGGTCAATTTTGTATATTGGTCAATATTGTATATTGGTTTTACCTGTGTCACTGTCATATATTCCAAGTCTGTAGGCTGCTCGCGTTTTTCCATCATATGGATCTTTTAGTAAATATTTGTAATTATAGATCTTTTTGTAAATTTTTTTGATTATGGCTGCAATATATCTTTCCTCTTATTTTTCAGGGAAATTGCAGTTGACAAGACTAGTAGAAATACAAAAACTAATCCGAAACAAAAGTCTTGACTTGCCCCGAATCATGCTTAATATTGACCAAAACTGAAATTAATGTGACCTGAACGTTTAATGTGATTAATTTCTTATGATCAACTGACAAGCCTAAGATGAAGTGAAACCAATCCAAATAACTCATTTATTGAATAGTTGAATATGACTCAAACAAATTGGCGCTATTGGAAGCAAAATTAACCAAGCTGACTGCTACCTCTAATATTAGTCATCCATGTTGCTGTGCTGCATTATACGCAGCTGTAAACTGCAAATTTGCATTAAGAAAGCATCACATTTAGGAGTAAGCTTTCTGCTAGTTATAGTTGTATTTCTATTGCTTCTGTTAGTCTATTTTTACTTGTAGCTCTATGTTCAGATAGTGGTATACTTTCATCCCGTACACGAGAAGGGTGTTTTCTACAAGAACACAGCCAGCTTGAGATGCAGCACATACAGGCAGCTTAGCTCCAAAACCTCAAGTCTGAACAGTGCAGAACAGAATACCAAACGAGAATGTGCACAAAACAATTTTGCACAGATGATTCAATGATCAGTACTGCTCGCGGCAGTTCAGAGTAAATATTACTAGCCGTTGAAATGTTTTTCTTTTTTACTATCATACTCTGTAGTGTCAGGAAACTCTTGAAATTATAAACCTAATAATATTTAGTCAGTATATTTCAATAAGCTGTGTACAAACAATGATTAAAATTTTCATACTACAATTAGGGAAAGAGAAATCTGAAAGGTAAAATTACTGAGTTACAAAAAAATTGAAAATAGAAACTATCAAAGTCACATTCTTAACCTAGTATTTATGCCTCTCATGGTATGGTTTTCAACATTATACCAATTGGGTCTTAACCTAGTATGTCAAGTGAGTGTCCTTTCTTCTATATATATGTTCATTTACCAAAATATCAACTCTATATAACTAACCTGGGAACAAGAGAAACTATGAAGCAGCCCTGAAAAATATACTGGCAGCGTTGCCTCAGGCAACGATAGAGTTTACAGTAATGTGAAATAACTGTTACTGGCTACATATTAACAAGTGGTCTCACCTTTTACAGCTTAAGCCTAGATGTTAGGTGCATAGGGAGAGGAAGATAATTCTTCCTGATATGCATTTCATAATAGGTACACAGTCCGCCCATGCTGTTTTATTTTCTCCTCATATAAGCATGCCCTGTGCTCTATCATAAAGATTTCATACTCTGATTGCAATATTGTAGTTCTCTGGTCTATAGTGGCAAAATACCCCTTCATCAAAACTTAGAACATTGATTTTGTCATCCTTCTTCCTGCCTGAAGAAGCCGTACGTTGAGCTGGTCTCAGTTTTCGTTACCTGTATAAAATGTCATGTAGCAGAACTGTTCAGGTATTTGAGTAATTATGGATAATATTGTAAACACAAAACAAGATGCTATTTGTGGAAGACAGCCACATTTTAATTTATAAGTTTCAAAAGCCTAAAATGTTCAAGTTGATTTTCCATCATTCAGTAATTCATACCTCCAATACACTTCCTCGACACACAGGGTTAAATTCTTGTGAGCACAAAGAAATCTATATTACAAAACTAGATGCTATGACGCAAAATAAAACAATTCATGGATGACAAGTTCATAATTGAACTCCCTTCTTATACTTGAGTTTATAAGACCATGCTTAAGTTTGAACGATTTTTCATCATTTAGAAATTCATTAAACTACAATACAATTCCTTGACACATAGGATAAAATTTTGAAACCAAGCACCTATAACAAATGCAAAAGAGTTTATTTGTAAGTTTATTTGTAAACAGTTTATTTCTTCAGCATTTCAGCCTAAAATTTAATGAAAAAATGACTTCCCATCACCCAACAGGCCAACGTTTATTTACTTATACTTTATCAAGTTGTGCCCTAATGAATGCCAGAAAAGAGTCTTACCACCCCCCCCCCAAAAAAAAAAAAGAGAGCATTGCCAAGAACACTAAGCAGCAGTAACAAATGCAAACCTCAGCAGTCCGAGAAGGGGCCGTAGGCAATAAAGGCATTAAAGACGTCCAAAGAATAGGGTCTGCTAAAGGATCCACAGCATTGTAATTTGTCAAAAGTGGAGCAGTGAGCAGCGGAGACAAAGGAAACATGTTCTTGTGAAGAGATGATCCGCCTATTCCAAGGGTAGACCCCAATCTCTCAATTCCTGAATCATCACTCATTTTCTGGACAGCTTTGCCACAATCAATCTTGCTAACATAACTCTTGTTCTCCTTCTCATCACTATCATTAGTAGTTTCCTTTGCTTTAGATGCTTTCTCTTGCATGTTCTTGTATGCAGCAGATCTTGACAATATGCTCAAAGCAGAAGTAGCAGACCCTTTATTATTTCTCTTTGCTTCATATGAAGTTCCCAACTGAGGCATCTGATAAGGCTCTGTGGACTGGATATCCCGTTCAAGTGATTTGAGCTCTGTCCCCATTTCTTCAGCACTGCTATGCTTTCCGCTATCTGATTGTCGGATTTTTCTCTGGCCCCACCACTTGATATAACCTGTCAAATCGAGTTTTCTTTCAATGGGAAAACCCCCAGGATAGTCACCCTCGGCTGGCATATCTTCTCCTTTACCTTGGGACAAGAAATTAGTTTGTTCAAGTGAAAATCAAGGTAGGATGAAGTATAGAACTAAGCTCAATTATAACAATCAAGGAACAAAAAATGCAAAAAAAAGCTTAAGGATAACACTAAAAGAAAAAAGCAGCTGAAATTTCTAGAATACCATAGTGAATTCCATGATGGTATTCAGTTGCAGTAGCACAGCCCAGTGAAGGTTCCCATCGGCCACTGGATCAAAGAATTATCAAGAGATTAGAATCAAAACCTCCAAAAACTCAAGCTAAATTGTTGAGCTCGCTAACAGACTTTAAGATAAGTGATGAAGTCATAGAAACACGGGTATCTTGGCACCCATAAACATATAGAAACAAGGATATTTGCGGTGTGAGTATAATAATTGAATTCCATATTCTAATGGATTAAAACTTGGATAGATAAGAAAGAAGATTATGCAATTTTTTCACCACTTTGTAATGAAACCCTGCTGGCTGCTAGAACTTTATACATACACAAAGTATAATCGATACCATGCCAAGATTGTCAACTCAACAAAATTGTCAGATTCAAGTGTCAATGACGAATATGGACAGAATAAAGGCAAAGCTCTTTTCTGCTACTCTGATGTATTTGACAAAGGTATTGCAAGGAAAATTAAATGTAAGAATAACAAAGGTGGGTAAAAAAATAGCGATTAAGCTACTTAAAATTATGGAAAGCATACCTTGAAAGCGCACGATATTTAGCTATACCTCTTGAGAATCCACTACTCTTTCTGCACAGACCATACAAGACAATCGACACAGAGTGTTAGTTCAAAATGCACACAGTATATTGTAACAAGAAGAAGGGGAGGTTGTGAAAGCTAATGGTATTCACCTCCTGAGTGATGCTAGATATTCCTCTCGGGAGACGTTTTGCATTTCATCTAAATCTCTACTATAATCTGTGACCTGCATCACACTACCGGCATTATTAATTTTCATGTGAATCCAAAATTTCAACTTATCTTTTTGTGAAGTCCAAATTAACCATGTCTTTAGTAAGTTGACTTTAAATATATGGCAGAGGATTAGGTCTTTGGAGTCTCACTGGAAAATTGATTAGAGTTCCTGGGCCCCAATACTTCAAGGCAGCAAGATCATATGCTCTAGCTGCAGCTTCCTCGTCGTCATATGCACCTGAGCACAAGATATTACTTTTTAAGTGAAAAGATCAAACTAAAAAAGCTATAAATTTAAGAAAGCAATCATGTACTCACCTAAATAAACTGCAAAGAGTAGATTGAGCAGCGTTCACCGGTTAGGATAGCCAACAGCGAGCAAAATAATGTCAGTTTCTTATAATTTCAATCAAACTAGCACTGTACAGGAAAGAAGCATAAATGCTAACAGCCTTAAGAGAGAAACTACAGAAAAGGGGAAAAAAGTGCATTTAAGGGAGGAAAGAATCAAAGAATCACCTTGTTTTCCCTTCTTATTCTGATTCTGATTCCAAGTGCTTTTATCCCAAAGGTGAGCTTCATATCGACCCGTCCATCTATGCCTGATGTTTCAAATTTTCCAAAATAGACCCCCCAAAAAAAAAGGAGAAACAAATTAGCATTGGCTTTACACATCGATCATCATCCCTGAATATTCCATCTCACTTCTCTTGACTTCTAAATAGACCGAAGATATAAAGTTTCTTTTAATTCTTGAAAATTAACTTATGGATGTACTTAGTACATCTTAGTATTTTCATCACCATAACCATCACTTACTGGCAAAGATCATCCACTCCTCATTCGTATTGTTACATAAGCTCCTACTCTATATTACTCAGACTTTAATTCACTTCAAGGGCCTGTATTAGATGCTCGAACTTCCACGTGGGTACGGACTCTTTAAACTTCATCTTAAACTAAAAATACGCAAAATATTCATAAAACTACCACACTTGAGAAGCTAGCAACATACCTATAGTCAATTTAGTTCGAGTCCCAAGTAACATACCTCCTAATAGGCTAATACACAATCTAATATCTCCACCCTAAACCACAACATACCCCATACAAAGGTTCCGTAAAATCCATTACTAGTAATCTGGTATTCAAACCCCAGCAACATACATCCTAGTACACAATCTAGCATTTCAACACCTTAATCAAGGACAACAAGGCTAAATCTAGCAGTGCATTCGGGTTTTCTCGAAATCTCGTTCCCTAATAGCAATTTCCTTACTAATCCAACTCACTTTGTTAAACACTACTAACAAATAACTACTCCCACCGTCTCTAAAAGTTCTTCCTCGGTGATTAACTTTAACAGACTATGGAACGCAGAGTAACCTAATCAATTACACCGAAATCAATTACAAATAAAATTCAGTTCCATAATCTAACAAAAACTCAAAAAAAAAAAAAAAAAAAAACTTCAAAATCAGATCAAATTCAACCCAAAAAAGAGGGGAAAAAAATAAAGAGAGAGAGAAAAACCTGGTAACACCACGGTAGATGGAACTACGTTTACCAGCAGTGGAAGGCGGCATTTTACTGATCCTATCTTTAGCAGTAGACCCTCCTCTTTCTCTCTTTACTTTCTTCATTAACACCACTCCAACACTCTCACTGCTCTCCTTATTCTTGTTTATCGCGGCCGAAGCCGCTGTCGTACCCGATGTCATATTCACTGTCGCCACCCCAACTCTGCCGACATCGCCGCTTGACGTCGACGCCATACTCCCCTCCACCACCACCACTTCCAACGGTAACAATGAAGATAATTAAATAAAAATAATAAATTTACTCAAATAATGACTCAAAATAAGTATCCTATGTAAACAAGATAATAATACTGAAAACGAACCCAAAATTATTGTTTTTTTTTTTTTTGGGGGGGGTTTTAAGTGGGATGAATGAAGAAAAAACGAACAGTGTGAGAGAGGAGGTTAAAAGTTGGAGGAGAAAGAAAAGGGACCCTCAACGGCTAAGTTGGGTGAGAGGGGTATTTTGGTAATTTTTGAGGGGGTTTGGCATTGTTTTTTCAAAATTGTTTGTGGAATTGTCAGGAAAGAAGACCCAAGTTCACGTGAGGTGTATCTAGTAGAGGTTTCCTAGTGTCTGTTGAAGTTTAACTCAAGTCGTCATCTTCTTTTGTGAGAACGACAATCTTTGCTTTTTCGTGTTTTGTATTTCTTGAGAAGTGCTCATGGTGTTAGATTGTGTTTTTGGACGGAAAAAAAGCTAGAGGTGTCAATTCGGATGATCGAATTAGATTTGATGAGGCTTTGTCGGGTTGGATTGGTTTAATTTTTAAAGTTGAGTCATGATAAATTATTGTAACCACGCGAATCAAAATCTAAATCAGATATTTTTCGAGTTGATTTTGGATTGGGTCGGTTTCGGGTGTGGTTTTGACGCCTCTAAAAAAAACTCATCATAGTAGTATAGTACGAATAAGTATTAGCGCATAGCACCTATGTGCTTAGAAAGTGTATAGGATGGCACTGGTTTTCTAGTGATACAATTTAAAGTACAAAACGTACGTACCACTTTGATTAAATGTACCAATGTGATTTCAGTGGTACATTTTCGGAGTATTAAATGTACCACTAGCACAGTTAAGTGGAATATTCAAGTTTTCTAATACCTGGTAAATTACGCTTCTGCCCTCCTATACACTTCGTTTGTCAATAGGTGCAATGCACTGATATGCACTCATATAGTACTCATATAAACAGAATTTGATCTCGGACAATAGCTATCATCCCATGTTCAGGATTTTAAGTAAGTAGATTGAAAACCATGATTATGGTGTTAGATTGTTGGTAATACGAGATCCAATTTGTATTGATTTGGGTTATTACTAACATAAACTATTGGGTGCGGACGTTCGCACCCAACAGTTCGTGCGGTAACCCCTTCAAACACCACTACCATTGAAAACACCCTCATAATCTCCCTTCTCCACTCACCATCCACTGGCGGAGCCAGCGTGGGACAAGGGGGGACAGTTGTCCCCCCACTTCCAAAAAAAAATAGTATAAATACAATATTTTGTGCATAATGTAATAGACCAAAGGAGTTAGCGCAATGGTTAAAGTAAGTTGCATGAGTTTGTACTTGTAGTCTTAGGAACTGGGTTCTGATTAGGGGATTTTTATCCACCAATCACCGTCTGACAAGTGGACCAACCAGGTTCCGCCACGTGTCCTTCACGAAGGCCAACAGGAGCTTGCCACGTGTCAGTCACAGATACGTCCTCCACGGACCACTTAAGACACGCCACGTGTCCACCCATGCCAAGTGGGACAACCGGCCATCAAGGCCCAATTCAGTCTAGAGGCTCGATCAGCCCTAGGTTTACCTTAAACCTAAAGAGTTGCACGCTTCCCAAGGCTATAAATACTCGATTAATCCTCATTAATCGAACAACCGAATAATTAAGAGATCAAGCAGAGAAGAACAGACTTATTAACAACCGGCTAATCTCGCTAACAACGCAGATTGCCAACACTAAGCACTCTCACCTAGAGAGATCTGATTACTTTAATTTCTGTATTGGTTACTCCTTAATCAGGTACTAACTTGACCGTTGGAGGCGGAGCTCTCAGGAGTCTCCGTTATTTTGCAGGTACAGGCGTCCGGTTCCAGTCTCGGAATTGTAACTCTCCCGCAGGACATCAGAAAACCCCGAAACATTTGGCGCCGTCTGTGGGGAGAGTACTTCAGAGATGGCATCCAAGTCTGTACCGACTCCAGAAGAGAGGCGTCCCCTAGACGACCCTCAAGTTCAGTCGGACCATGATACCGAAAGTGAATTTGAAGTTGAAACTCATACAGCTCCAGACGGGACCCTAAGGGCCCGCCGTACCCGTCATACTGAAATAAGGGAACGGGAGTATCTTCAAACAGGAAGCGAGCCAGCAGGCGCACCGCTTGCTCGGCAACAGCCGACTGATGGGTCTGCTCCCATCACAAGGAACGAACTCATGACCTTCATGAGGGACTTCAAGGGAGAGATCCAAGAGTTGATCAACAAAAAACCGCCTGCTTCAGTCAAAGAGCAGTCGGCCAAGAAACCTTCCACTTCACTGAGGAGGAAGCCAGTTCAAGGGCGAGAGGCGACTCCCCATCCTAAATCCAAGAAGCGGGAACCGTCTGCTCTTGATTTCACAAAATTCCGTTACCCTACGGGAAATAGGAAACCGGTTCGTCATATTCAGGCGGACGGGTCAAAGCAAACGTTCACAGATGCTCGGCACCTGCTAGAGCAGAAGAAGAGTGACCGATTATCAGAGTCGGCTTCTACTTCAAATTTTCAGGACAGTTTGCGAAACGCCTCGATGAGGCCAACTCAGTCGTACCATGAGAGTCAGTCAGGCGGCACCTCCCGTCAGTCCGACTTTCATAGTGCCCAGGCGGTACCAAACTTACCATTTGTGCCGCAACAACAGTATTTTATGCAGCCACCTCCATTTGGTGGACCTGCAGCAAAAAACGTCCAACCTATGGACTGGCAGCTACGGCTGCTTAGACTTGGTGAACAGCCGTCGGCCTTCTCCAAGGAAATTACTGAAGCCGCTCAGCCGGCCATAGTAAAAAATGTTTTAGTAGGCGCCTATGATGGCACTACTAACCCGGAAGACCATCTGATGGCATTCACCAACCTGATGTACCTTCAAGGGTTGGATGATCCCACTTGGTGCAAGTGTTTCCCAGCGACTCTCAAGGGAATTGCACAGCAATGGTTCGGCAACCTGCCGACTGGTTGTGTAAACAGCTTCAGGACGCTTGCTTACTTATTTGCCTCCAACTTCGCAATGAACATCCCTGCGAAGAAAACGACCCTTGATTTGGGAACAATTCAGCAGGGTGAAAAGGAGGGGTTCGTTCCTACATCAGGCGGTTCAACCTGATGAGAATACAGATTCAAGGGTTACCGGATGAGGTAGCTTATACTGACTTTTTTAGAGGTCTCAAAGACGGGTCTACCTTCAAATTTGATTTAGTTCGAAAAAGGGTGGCGACTCTTCAAGAGGCCTTGATTGAAGCAGAAGCCTATATACAGGCGACTGATCTGTGTACGATGAAACAGTCGGACGGGAAGAGGTTCGACAATAGAGAGGGACGACAGAAACAGTCGTCCAACAAGGATGAAAAAAGAAAAGGGGTCTGGGCGGCTGATTCCTCTAAACAGCCGGCCCAGAAAAAGAAAAAAGAATTCAAACCATACTCCCCAAAATATGTGTTTAACAAGGATAACCAGTTTATCCTAAAAGAAATAAAGGGACGGCTCTCAATTGAGAAGCCGCTCCCCATGAAGGGTTCTGCGAGCAACCGGAACCCAGACAAAATCTGTGCTTATCATGATGACATTGGTCATCACACCAATGACTGCATCAGTCTCATGCGGTACCTAGACCGATTGGCTGATCAAGGTGATCTTGACACTTATGTCAAGAAATCTGCGGGAAACACTTCCTCAAAAAAGCAGTCGGCCAAAAAGAATCAGCAGGCCGACAGTTCTGATACAGATGATGCAGTCGTCTACACCATTGCAGGCGGCTTCTCAGGAGGCGGCCCCACTATTAGGGGCAACAAAGATAATATAAGGCGGTTAGATGTAAATTCCGTTCACCAAGAACGACCGTCCAAATATACATTTCCTGAGATTGTCATCACTGAAGAGGATCTAGGAGGAATAAGGGGGCCGCATGATGACCCTCTCGTTATTGAATGTAAAGTGGCCAACCAGAGAGTTGGTCGAATCCTCATAGATACCGGGAGCTCTTCAGATCTCATCAGCAGCAAATGTCTATCAAAACTGAAATATCAGACGGACTGCATACATCCGGCCTCCCACCCTTTAATAGGGTTTGGGGGAGGAGTCGTCCACCCACTGGGACGAGTAGATCTACCCATCCGCCTGGGCGAAAAAGGGGAAGGACGACACATGGTAGTCCGGTTCCTAGTGGTAGAGGAACTCTCTGCCTACAACATGATTCTGGGTCGACCAACCCTGAATAATTCCAAGGCTGTTATAATCCCGTCACTTATGCTGCTTAAGTTTGAAAGGGACAATGGAACAGTCGGCTCCCTTAGGGGAGATCAGAGGATGGCCCGAGAGTGCTATCTCTCGGATGTCAAGCCCACTGTTATGGCCACTGGGTCAAGTGGAGAAAAAACAGACCTTGACAATATCAAGGAAAGTGCGCCTGTTCAAGAAACAGGCGACAAAAAGAGAAAGGCACTCCAGACTGAGTCCGCAAGAAAAGCAAGAAAATAGCAATCATTGGCAGAGGACCGGCCGGATGAGTTCCGCCCTCAGCCGGCTGGTGAACATGCGGACCTGATATTAGACGACTCCCATCCTGACCGAACAGTCAAGGTAGGGACGACTGCTCTGAGAAACCTTGGTGACGACTTTCACAACCTGTTGAAAGAATACAAGGACATCTTTGCATTTGAAGTCCATGAAATGCCAGGCATTAGTCCTGATCTGGCAGTACACAAACTCGCTGTGGATCCGAAAAAGAAGCCGGTACGACAAAAGAAACGGAACCATGGTGAAGAAAGAGGTCAGGCGGCAGCCGCCGAAGTCAAAAAAATTACTTGATGCAGGGTTCATTCGGCAATGTTACTTCCCAGATTGGGTTGCAAATGTGGTTCTTGTTAAAAAGCCGAATGGCACCTGGCGAATGTGTGTAGACTACACAGACTTGAACAAGGCGTGCCCCAAAGACAGTTACCCTCTGCCTAAAATTGATAACCTGGTCGACTCAACAGCCGGCCATGCCTTGATGAGTTTTATGGACGCCTATTCTGGTTTTCATCAAATTCCTTTGTGGAAGAAAGATCAGGAGAAGACGGCCTTCGTCACTGATCAGGGATTATACTGTTACACGGTCATGCCGTTTGGTCTTAAGAATGCTCCGGCTACCTTCCAACGAATGATAAACACAGTGTTCTTTGATCAGATTGGGAGAAACGTCGAGGCATACATTGATGATATGATTGTCAAGACTAAACTTCAGAAAGATCATCTGACGGACCTCCGAGAAACTTTCGCCACACTCAGGCGGCACCATGTCATGCTCAATCCCAAGAAATGTGTATTTGGAGTTGAGTCTGGGAAATTTCTCGGATTCCTTATCAACCAGAGAGGAATAGAGGCGAACCCCGAGAAGGTACAGGCGGTCATTGACATGCAGTCGCCTCGTACCGTTCGAGAGGTTCAGAAGTTAACAGGTTGTCTGGCGGCCTTGGGAAGATTCCTAAG